ACCCTGAACCCTAAACCGTAAACCGCACACCCTAACCCGAAAACCCTGCACCCTAAACCCTAAACCTTAACCCTAAACCCTAAACCCCTAAACCCTAAACCCTAAACCCTAAACCCTAAAACCCCTAGAGCCCCTAGAGCCCCTAAGACAGACGACCAAGGCTCCACTTCCAGTGGACCGGCTCGGATGCGAACAACAACGGCAACGCGGGCAATGGCCGGGCGGGCACGGACCGTTCGAACCTCGTTCAGGCACCTCAAAGGGCTCACTGGGCCAGGGGTTTAGGGTTTAGGGTTTAGGGTGTAGGGTTTAGGGTTTAGGGTTTAGGGAACCTGGTTCGGGCCCAAGTGTGCTTAACCTCCGGAGCCCAATATTTTCTTCATGCAGGAAGATGCCCCTGAAGCAAGACAAGGATTCCTATGTGGTGCTTCGCTAAATTAAGGTGTGTTTTTGGGATTAACATGACAAGGCGGCCCCTAATATTTAGGGTACCCCAGAAGGACGACCATATCGTCTAAGATATAGTCCTTAAAGTAGGGCATTGAAGGGCCTCCCGGAGGCCGAAGAGTGCTAAACCCTATGCACAGACCCTGCAGCTCCTTGAGCAAGGCCCCGACCTCGGTTTAGGGTTTTAGGGTTTTAGGAGAGGGTTTAGGGTTTAGGGGAAAGCCCCCTACACCCCTTAACCCCAAGCTCTTAAGCCCTGAGCCCTCAACCCTCACCCTACACCCAAGTACCTTCATCCCTGCGTGTATCACATTGGCCTAGTAGGGCTACAAGTCAAGGACTATCTACTGGATGTGCCTCGCCTGGTCTGTCCGAGTGTGAGCCCTTAAGCCCTAAACCCTAAACCCTAAACCCTAAACCCTAAACCCTAAACCTTAAACCCTAAACCCTAAACCCTAAACCCTAAACCCTAAACCACAGTGGGGGTTTAGGCCTCATCCCGGCTCCTGAGGTCCAGTCGAGGTCAGAAACGGTGCCGCTCCCGATCGAGCGGCACACGCTCTTGTCCCTCGCTTGAGGTTTAGGGTGTCGGCTTGAAGGCTTAGGGTTTAAGGGTTTAGGGTTTAGGATTTGCAGAGAGAGAGAGAGAGAGAGACTAAGTTCAACAACAAGGGTTTGTTCAGCTCTAAAAGGGGCAGGTGAATGTTCCCAGATTGAGGGGGTGTTGGGCTCTCTGGGAGGTTCGACGCCAGCGCGAACCCCAACGACCCAGAGGGCCGGAAGCTGGTCGACAAGTTCGCCTTCCTGGACCAGGACCCCGGCGAAGCCCCAAAGAACGCCCGAGGGACTCCAAGAATACCCCTTAGTTAAGTTAGTATTCCTTAAACCATGTAAGGAACCCTCCTATATTTTGAAGGATCATTCCTTAACTAAGGGGCATTCGAATCCCTTGCCTCTTCAATAAGGAGCAGAGCTATGAAATCAGAATTTGAGAGCTGACCCTGTGGGTTAACGAGTGTTCATATTCCTTAGGGATGTTCACGCTTGTCCTAGCATATGGTTGTGCCCCCTATTATACTCCCGATGAAGGACTGTTATCAGGGGGAACATCCCAAACTATTCCTGAACTAAGGAGTATTGGGAGTCTCTGAATATACTTAGGCTCCTGGGATGGGGAAGAAGGACTCGTTGGTGACGTGCGACCCTGACACGAACGACCAGAACTCGGAGACGAACTGCAAGCAACTCAACGGTGCCTCCGCCTACTTCGATGGTGGACTGGTGGAGATGAAGAGTGTTGGCGTGCACCACGTGGCCAGCACCAGGAACAACGATTTCACAAATCGGTCCCACAAGGCATCCATTACCGTCACAGGCCTCCAGTTGGAGCTGTACGAGAACATCGCATTGGGGGTGGGTGCCTTTTGTGGTCTCATCCTGGTGATCTACGTGTTTGCCACCATCTATGCTTGCAGGCATCCCGGGAGTTGGTTATTCTCCCGCAGGTATCGCCCGCGACTGCTCAGCCTCCTGCTGACCACACGTGGGATGGACAGCCTTGTGGAGGAGCGGCGCCAAATTGTGGCGAAGCAGCGCCGGGAGTGGGCCAAGAAAGCCAACGCCCATGCAGCAGATGAGGAGGGAGCCACAGACTCAGCGGAGGTCGCCTTGCCGGAGGAGACGCTCACGTGGTTCCAAGGAATCAACCGCTGCTTCCGTCGCTGTGGCGTTGGCGAGCAGCGGCTGACTACCCTCATGTACGGCGTGCTGAACATCTTGGTGTTCCTCATCGGCTTCTTGTCCAACTTGCGTGGCGGATTCCATGAGTCGTGGGCCTATCCCATCGCCAAGGGTGGTGGCTACAGCATGGACTTGAACTTTGCCATGCTTATCCTGCCCACGCTGAAGAGCTTGCAGACTACCATGCGCCGGGTGAGCTCTTCGCGTGAGTGGATTCCCATTGATGACCCCATTGCCTTCCACATCGTGATTGCAAGCTTCACGATGCTGGGCGCCCTGATCCACATTGGTGCCCACTGCATGCACATCTACCTCATCAAAGCGGCACCCACAATTCAGCTCGACCCGCTGGAGTTGTGGAAGCTCAGTGCAGAGGAAAAGGCAAGCGGCATGACGTTGCTGCAGCAGATCCTGAACTTCCAAAATCGCTGTGCAGCCTTGACGGGCATCATCCTCACCTTCCTCATGCTAGCCATCCTCCTGACTGCCGTGCCTTGTGCTAGGCGGGGGACAAACTGCGTCACGCGCAGGCTCGGTGGTTTCAATCTCTTCTGGCGCGTGCACATGACGTGGAAGTTCATCTATGTGTTGCTTCTCTTACATGCACCGGCCCGGCTTTGGATCTGGTTCTTCTTCCCCACTATCTTCGTGATCGTTGACCGGCTTCTGCTTTCCAGCCACCAAAGCTTGTACTTGGCACTGAAGAGCGTGAAGTTGCTCCCGCGCGACGTCATCGGCCTGACTTTCGAGGTTCCACAGGGCTTTGCGTACCAGGCTGGCCAGTACATCCTCCTAGGCTGGAAAGGAGAATGGCACCCGTTCACCCTCACATCGGCCCCAGAGGAGAACTGCATCTCCGTGCACATCCGCTCGCCCAACAACCTGGACTGGTGCTCTGCCCTGCGGCGGCGCCTCACCGAGGAGGCCCCAGCGCAGGCAGCGGGTGCCGAGCCCGCACGGGCAAAGGCACCCATGGTGATCGAGTACTGCAAGCGTGTGCTTCCCAACAGCCAAATTGTGTACAACATGCCCAAGATCTGTAGTCCCAATGGTGCGAAAGAGGTGCAGGAGGTAAAGGATGCAGGAGAGGCTGAGCCTCAAACCAAGTTGGAAGGCCCGCGTCTGTTGGGCCGGAGCCCTTCAGGAAAGGTGGCAGACAGGCCGGCGCGGTCCGGCGAGACTTTGATCAGCAGCGCAGCCCCAGGGATGCTGCCGGACGAGTCCGTGGTGCTGCAGGTGACAGGGCCATTCGGTGCCCCTGCACAAAAAGTCTGGGGCTTCGACGTGCTGATGGTCGTGGGGGCCGGCATTGGTGTCACGCCCTTCGCCTCAATCCTGCGCTCCGTCCAGCTTCGTGCCAAGCAGCGCGAGACCATCATGAACGCTGCCACGAAGCCTTCTGCTTGGCGAGCGGCCATGGCCAGCAATGCCCAGGCCGATGAAACCAGGTCTGGGCTTGAGAAGCTCGTGGAGGACTTGGTGGTGGTCCCTAAGAAGATCTACTTCTACTGGATCTGCCGTGGCCAAGAAGAGTTCGACTGGTTCTGTGATCTCCTCACGGCCGCTGCCGAGGGTCCGGCCATGGGCATTGTGGAAATCACGCTCTTCCTGACCGGGGAGGTGGAGTTGTCTCAGGTCAAGAAGCTTCCCTGCGCTGCTGGGCAGTTCTTTGGACGTCCCAATTGGGGACGCATCTTCAAGCAGAACCGCGAAAAGCATCAGGGAGAGCACGTCGGCGTCTTCCTGTGCGGTTCCCCGGTGATTGGCGAACAGCTGTCCCACCAAAGCATCAAGAACTCGGACTTGGTCGGAACGCCGGGCGGGACGCGCTTTTCGTTCTTCAAGGAGCACTTCTGAGGCTCTGAATGCATGTGTCCCCTTTGCTTTTTTCTTCCGCAGCCTTGTGCGCCTCTGTCTCTGCAATGCCGACGTGGATCCAGGTTTCCCGAATCCTGGCGTTGAGAGGCACCTTTGGCGCCCTTGTACAGCGTTGCCTGTTTCCAGGCCTGTGGTAGATGCTAGTTTTGGGTGCTGGCTTTCCCCAGCCTTTTATACATAGCAGCTATTTGCTTAAGATCCCCCGTAACAAATATAAGAAGTAGTCTTCCTTATACGTGCAATACAGGGATTACCATCTTTCAATTCATTGGGGGTTCTTAAGCAACTAGGAGTATAGGCGTTCACATCTCAGCGGGCTGCATGGCGTGGGCCTGTCTTGTCCAGGGGCCGGGATCGACCAGGAGTGTCGATCTCGGCCTCGTCCTCACGCCCCCTGCTCGCGAACCCTGGGAGTCAAACACCCTCAGCCCTCAACCCTTAACCCTCAGCCCTAAACCCTAAACCCGAAGCCCTAAACCCTAAACCCTAAACTCGAAACCCTGAGCCCTGAACCCTCAGCCCCGGGGCCTCTTCTTATAGCCGGAGCCCCAACGCCGCAACCCCTACAAGAATGGACCCGTCGAGCCCGGCTTGCAAGTCTCGAGCTACGGGGGCTTGTGCGCACAGGGCAGGGCCTTGCTTCGGGAACCCTAAGCTATAGTTATCTATAGTTGTTCTATAGTTTACCTACAGTTGTTCTATCGTTGTTCTACCAAAAAGAAAGGCCCCTCCAAAGAGGGATCATCTATTGTAGGCCAACCTCCAAGCACCACTCCGACCACACGCCGCTACCACTGCGACTACACCCGAAGCCTTGCCTGCCCCGTGCGCGTGTCAGAGTCGGAGCCCTAAACCCTGAACCCTAAACCCTAAACCCTAAACCCTAAACCCCAAACCCTAAACCCTAAACCCTAAACCCCCAAACCCGACGCCAGGGCCTCTGCGCCCTCGGCGTCCGCCTGCAGCACACGAAGTCTCCGGCGCTTCGCCGCCTGCACGGCCTGGACCTCCTTGGGGAGGTTTAGGGTTTAGGGTTTGGGGTTTGGGGTTTTGGGTTTGGGGTTTAGGGTTTAGGGTTTAGGGTATAAGATTCCCAAGATGTTTTTTTTTTTGCAGGATTTGAGAAGTTTTGTTGTGAATGTGCCGTTGAAGTTCAGGGATTCACCATGTGGGTCCTTGGTTTCAGAGAGAAAGCGGCGTGGAGCTATTCTCGTCCCGAGACCGGGCTCCAACTTTTCGTTGCTGGGGCAATCAGTGCTCGCGGTTAAACGTCTTTTAGAAACTGACCGGGGAACTTTAAATCCTTGGGACCTCCTGCTCTTGGTTCGCGCCATTCTTTGTGTTGAGGCCTCGGACTTACTTTCTAGAATGTTTAACAGCTTAACACTGGTTAGTTAGTGTTGTAGTGCACTCAACCCCCCTACGCCCGATTCTAAAGCAACCCTCAAAAAGGAGGCCTCTGAAGGCGATGGCGTTCTGGTGACCGACGCCCCTCTGACTTGAGCTGGAAGCCTGAAGCGACAAGTAGCCCGGGACTCCAGGTTAGGCTTGGGCTTCAGGCTTCAGGGTTCAGGGCTTAGGGTTTAGGGTTTTGGGTTCAAAAGGGTTTAGGGTTTGGGGTTTAGGGCTTCAGAGAAGTTGCATGTTTGCCGGCAGCCCCCAAAGTCCGTTGCTCAAAAGGGTTTAGGGCGAGAACCTCGAAAAGCTCCTGCAAAAGGGTTTACTTGGAGGTTCATGGGACTTAATAACCACTTATAACTGGGCTTATAACCCTACTTATAATTGGGATAACCCTTATAAGGCCCTTTAGGGGTATTATAAGTAGGGTGATAAGTACAGTGAAAATTGGTTAGTAAGTACCACGAACCTCCAAGTAGGATTTAGGGTTCGGGAACCCCTAAACCCCGCACCTAACATGGCGTGGGGAGCTCTAGGAGCGGCGGGGAGGCGGTGCTTTCACAGGAATATAGGGGTCGGAATACTTACAGTATTCCCTCAGGCTCATGTGATAAATCTGCAATAGTCACCCCCCCAAAGCCCTATTCGAACTATCAAGGCCCCCTATAGTAGATCCCCGAACCCCTGAATCCCAAGCCTTCCCTAAACCCTAAACCCTAAACCCTAAACCCTAAACCCTAAACCCTAAACCCTAAACCCTAAACCCTAAACCCTGAACTTTGAACCCTGAACCCTGAACCCTGAACCCTGAACCCTGAACTCTAAACCCTTCCCTAAACCCTAGGCTTGCCGAAAGGCCCACCCGAAACCCTAAAGCCTCACGAACCCTAGAAGCCCAAGACGCCCAACCTGAACCACAGAAAATGAGGGTGTTTAGGGTTTAGAGTTTAGGGTTTAGAGTTTGTCTAAGGCCTTTCCCAGCTGACTTCAGGAGTCTGGGTTCAAAAAAGGGTTAGAGTTTAGGGCTTAGAGTTTAGAGTTTGGGGTTACAAAAAGGCCTTTCTCGTCCTGACTTTAAGGGAATCATCCTATCTGGGGTGCCATGTTAGGGTTCCTTTATGTTGCGTAAAACCCCCCCAAACCCTAAACCCTAAACCCTAAACCCTAAACCCTAAACCCTAAACCCTAAACCCTAAACCCTAAACCCTAAACCCTAAACCCTCAGGTGGCTCCGCTGTCCCCGGCGGCGGACGGGGGAATCGTTGCGCCTCGGAGCTGAAAATCCTAGGGTTTAGGGTTGGGCCCCAGGTGTTTTTGTTGGGGTTTGGGGGGTTTAAGTTTGGGATGTTCCCCCTTACGCTAGGAGTCCTTAGTAGGGATTAGAATAGGGGGTAGCACAATCCCTACGGAGGACTGTCGTATGAGGGGGAACATCTCAAGCTTGGGGCTTTAAGGGGCTGGAACGTTGCATGTGTAAAATGTAGAGGAGCTCACCACACCTTCCCTGAATCAAGAAATGCCTCTTCAAACAGCATAGGGACTTTGGGATGTTCCCCCTTGTACTAACAGTCCTTACTAGGAATTGCATTAGGGGGCACTGCAATTCCTATTAAGGACTGCTAGCATAGGGGGGAACATCCCAATGGGATCCTCAACATCAGAGTTGAGCTGTCTTCCTGAACTGCGGGGTGCTAGGGGCTCGTTGGCCACGCCCTCCGAATCTCCGCCCCCGAAGCGCGCCAAAAGGCTGGGGATGTTCTGTTGGCCGTGGACGACGTGCCTGTGGCCGAGGCGAGCTTCGGGAACCTAAAAGTCAAGGTCTCTGTGAAAGGATCTCTCTGCAGAGCCGGGCTGTCAAGTCTCTTTCCCTGGAAACCCTAAACCTTAAACCCTAAACATCCCTAAACCTCTGGTAGCGGCACCAGGGCTTGTGGGAGCCCTGTGTGGTTTGCGCGTGTGTTTGCTTAAGAACACCCCCCCCCCCCAAAAGAAAAAGGTTTTTCCTTACAAGGGTAATAGAGGGATTATTGTTTTTTATTCTTTTGGGGTTCTTAAGCAAATAGTCGTCTTGGCATGTTCCCCCCTTATAGTAACAGTCCTTAACAGAGATCATGGCACCCCCGATAATCCCTATGAAGGACTGTTAGTAGAAGGGGGAATTCATGCGCCTGAGAGCACCCCCGGCGCTCGTCTTGCCGAATTTTGACGCCTTGATCTAACTCATGAACCCTTTCTGGGCTTGTTTTTTTTTAAAGCTTGGTCCTTCTCTTCTTAATATCTGAGTAGGTAGCCCTAAACCCTAAACCCTAACTCCTTTTGGGTTTTCTAGAATCCTGGCAGAATTGAAAGGTTCACTTGTTTTGGCCCAGCTAGGTCCTTAGCCACGTCAGGCTTTTAAGGGTAGTTTCATGGTCTAGGGTTCAGGGTTCAGGGTTTAGGGTTCAGGGTGTAGGGCTCAGGGTTTAGGGTTTAGGGTTTAGGCTTTAGGGTTTAGGGTTCGGGTAGTTTCATGGTCCCTTAGTATGGGCCCTTAAAAGGGGGCACCCTATGACAAATGATGGGCCCATACCTCAGAACCCTTTCAAGAAGGTAAATGATCATATTAAGGTAACTACCCTTAGAAGCCTGGGCCTGAGCCGGATGCAACCCTAAACCCTAAACCCCAAACCCCAAACCCTAAACCCTAAATCCCAAACCTTAAACCCCAAACCCCAAACCCCAAACCCTAAGCCCTGACCAGGATGGCACAGTTCCCTTCCGCGACATGGAGCGCATTGGGCGGCTTGCCGAGGAACATGCCGGAATCCAACATCAGGACCCGCTACATTGAACAAGGTCCTTTCCGACTGTTCCCTACTATCTGCTTTAGAACCACCCAAGAAAAGTCAACGATACTCTTCCTTGTAAGGGTAATATAGGGATTATTTTCTGTAATGTTCCTGGGGTTCCATCATGAGTCCACAGCAAGCCTCGGGGGGGAACCCGTGCTTGCTTGCTTTACCCCCCCGTCACCCGCCTGGGTTTATGGTCGAGGGCTTGCAGGGTTTTTGTCGCTCACGCTCGGGCAGGCTTGTAGGGCTTGCTTGAAGGTTCATCTTGGGTAGCTGTCAGTAGGGTTAGAATTCTGGTGACTATACTAGCCCGATTTGAGGTACTTATAACCCTATAACTACTCCTGAACCTGCAAGTAGGGTCTAGGTTTACAGAGTATAAGAGCGTCGCCACATGGGCCAATGCCAACAGCCCAGACTCCGTGGGAAATATCTACCGTCAACCCTGACCCTAAACCCTAAATCGTAAATCCGCAACCCTAAACCCTAAACGCTTCACCCTAAACCCTAAAACCCTAAACCCCAAAAACCCTAGCCCAAGGTTCGAGTTTCTTGTGACTCGCAAAGTGGTCGGCGAGACCATCAGCCTCTTGTCGAGCAGGATTGTTTTCAGGGCTTCGGGTGGAAGATGCATCTAACCAGCCCTGAAAGGCCTAGCTCAACCCTTATCTCGAAAGCCGTCTGGATGTAGGCTTTGACAATTTGAGGCTTAGAGACGAGTAGCTTCAAAAGCAGTTCCGAAGCAGCTTCATGGCTAGCAGCTCCATTTCACGGCAGCTCACGGCCTTTGTCCGATGTGGGTCGCGGTAAGAGTGCTGATTGTCGTGGACTACGTGCAGTACGCGGGCCGCCCAGTGGAAAAGAAAAAGCTCGGAGGGTAGTTGCATGGGCCCTTAATATGGTCCCTTGCCTCCTTCAAAGGGTTTTGATGTATATATATATATATGAGCCTGAGACCTTTAGGGTTCTTTTGGCTTAGTTTATATAAGCCCTCTTAAATAAACAAAGCCAAACGCGATAAATATAGGAATATATATGCTCTTAAATGAACGCGTCCACTACATGTCTCGATCTGTTCAAGTATAGCTCAGCTTTCTACTCCCTAAACCTGAAACGTTAAACCTTGAAACCTGAACTTCAACCCTTTAAACCTAATCTTTATTTTTTGACCCTTAACCTTGAAACCTTTAAAAGTAAACCTTAAACTCGCGAAGTCCTAACTTTTAACTTTCACCCCTAGGCTCGTGACTGTAATCCGACGCATCTTCTCGCTTCCTTGCTCATGGCTGTGCTTGAAACACAGGCGTGCTGCGAGTACCTGCGAGTCCATCATCTCTGCCTATGCGTGTCGCTTTTATCAAGGTAAGTCATGATGGCTCGCGCTTCGGATAGTCTGTACATTGCAGAAACAAATGCACGGTTTAGGTTTAAACCTTCAAGGTTTATGGTTTAGGGTTTAAGGTTTAAGGTTTATGGTTTAGGGGATAGGGTTTAGATTTTAGAGTTTCGGGTTTAGGGTATAGGCTTAGGGTTTATACTTAAAGGTTCGGGTTTATGGGTTTTCGATTTAGTCCCTTTTATGATGCAGCTCAAAAAAGGTCTCTGCTCATCTGCACGTGGTCAGTTGAGGCTCCAGAGAGACATTATTCACTAAACCACAAGCCATAGACCCTAAACCTTAACCTCTAAATCCTAAACCTTGAACTCTAAGCCCTAAACCGTAAACCCACAAGGGCCTTACTTTACTTCAAAAACTCCCCGCGCAGAAGAAGACACAGATGAAGAAAGTCATAAGCTGAGCTCGAGCTCGGAGCTGCTCATACATCTACACCTGTCTAACATTCCTCATCAGTTTCTACTCCCTAGATTTTAAGCCTAACACCCTGAACTTTAAACCCTTAACTTTGAATCCTAAGTCGAAAACATTAAATCCTCCACCTTGAAACACTCGGAGCCTTAACCCTAATCCCTTGAACTCTCATATTTCAACCCTAACCCTTAAGGTCGTGATCCTGATCTAAGACGCCTCCCAGCTTCCTTGCTGCGGGCTGTGCTTGCAAAACTAACATGCTGCGAGTAGCTGAGAGTCCAGCATCTCTGCATGTTCTTGTCGCCTTTTCTTGTTCTAGACGATACTGGCTCGTGCTCTAGAGATCTGATTGTCATCTGATTGTCCGCATTGAAACACAAAGCCACTACTTCCTGCAGGATTTACTAAGCCCAAAACCCCAAACTCACAAGGGCCTCACTTTAGTAGACACACTCCTAGCGCAGACAAAAACAGATCAGGAGAGCCGTTAAACTCAGCTTGTGCTCGGAAATGCTCATACGTCTCCACCTCTTTAACATTCCTCAGCGTTTCTTTGTGCTGAACCTGAAACCTTAAACTCTGAGCCCTGAACCCTAACTTCTTAAACCTAATCTTTAAAATCTGCTCCTAAACCTTGAAACCTGTAACAGTTAACCTTAAACCCACGAAGTCCGAACTTTTAACGTTCAGCTCTAGGGTCGTGACTGTAGTCCGATGCATCTTCTCACTTCCTTGCTCATAGCTTTGCTTGAAACACTGACTTGCTGCGAGTAGCTGCGAGTCCATCATTTCTGCTTATGTGTGTCGCTTTTACTAAGATAAGTCGTGATGGCTCGCGCTTCAGATAAGCTGTACATGGCAAAAACAAACTGCACGGTTTAGGCTTTAACCTACAAGGTTTATGGCTTAGGGTTTAGGGTTTAAGGTTTAGGGTTTTAAGTTTATGGTTTAGGGTATAGGGTTTAGGTTTTAGGGTTTCGGGTTTAGGTTTAGGGTGAAGGTTTAGGGTTTATAGTTAAAGGTTCGGGTTGTTGGGTTTTAGGTTTAGCCCCTTCTATGATGCAGCTTAAAAAGGGTCTCTGCTCATCTGCGCCCGGCCAGTTGAGGTTCCAGAGAGACCTTATCCACAAAACCATAAGCCATAGACCCTAAACCCTAAACTTTAAACTGTAAACCTTGAACTCTAAGCCCTGAACCTTAAACCCACAAGGGCCTTACTTTACTAAACAAACTCCCCGCGTAGATGAAGATACAGATGGAGAGAGTCCTGAGACTGAGCTCGAGCTCGGAGCTGATCATACATCTCCACCTGTCTAACATTCCTCGTCAGTTTCTACTCCCTAGATTTTAAGCCTTGCACCCTCAACTTTAAACCCTTAATTCCGAATCCTAAATCGAAAACATTAAACCCTCCGCCTTGAAACACTCTGAGCCTTAACCCTGACCCCTTGAACTCTCATATTTAACCCCTAACCCTGAAGGTCGTGATCCTCATCTAAGACGCCTTCCAGCTTTCTTGCTCAGAGCTGTGCTTGGAAAACTAACATGCTGCGAGCAGCTCTGAGTCCAGCATCTCTGGATGTGCTTGTCTCCTTTTCTTCCTGTAGATGGTAGTGGCTCGCGCTCTAGAGATCTGACTGTCCACATCCTGCAGAATTAGCTCTGGCATCCAGGAACCTATGCTTGAATGCCTCGACGTCTGAGATCCAGCAAGGGCCATTCATCTCCAGACAGTCTGAGAAGCACCGTAAAACTCTAAACCCTAAAGAAAAAACAACATCCAGAAAAAAACGATACTTGGGAGCTTTGAGTCACTCGATTCTTGCGTGACTTTAATTATATGATTGAGACTCTAAGGTTTATCATTTCAATGTTTTGGGTTTAAAGATTTCGACTTAGGGTTTAGGGTTTAGGTTTTAGTATTGAAGATTAAGATGTAGAGTTCATGCTCTAGGGTTTAGAATTACCAGGCAATCCGAGAAGCAACGTTAAACTCTAAATCCTGTGAAAAAACTAACAAAAACGAGACTTGAGAAGCTTCGGGATACTCGTTAACATAGCTGCTTAGCTTCCCGAACAACCTTTCCTGTGGCCCTACCGCATCTCGGCAGCATAAATCATCTACTCGATCTCTCATGTGAAAGCTGAACACGCTCAGTCAAGATCTTCCCCATCGTCATCCTGTCAGATGATTTCGCGTCTTATTATTTCAGGATCGTAAATTCCACTGATTCAGATTTGAAGTCGAACCTTTATACACTTGCAACGAAGACCATTAACCTTGCTGCAGGATTCGAAGTGTAAGGTCTGGGAGTATGTCGGAGATCATCATCCTTTTATGTTTCAACTTCTTGCTGCGCGCAGGATTAACAACGAATGCCAAGTTTCTCTTCTCGGGGCGAACCACAGCATCTGCGTAAACGCAAGGACTCATGATGAGTCTGTGTGGTCTAGTATTTTATGCCGCCTCGACGTCGACGCCTGGGAATATTGTTTCGGACGTAGTACGAATTACGTCCTTTCCGCATCAATGCAAATCTCGATGACATGTAATTTAATATTATTCGCACGTAAGTCTGCTCATCAGACGAGTCCTTTGCGCGCAAAGCCCTTGTACCAGGAGAATCGCGACAATCTTGACCATGAGCATGCCTCTTTTAATTCCTAGCGCAAGAAAAAGAACTCACACAGAACAAGAACTCGATGAGCCTTTGTCGTTGCAGTCTTCTTTGTCGTAAAGGTCCGAAAAATTATATTCTTCGCCAAAGTGTCGCCTTAAAAATTGAAGCGTGCAGGATTGTAGAGAGACATTCGAATCTTAGATGCAGCTCAGAAACACCAAGTAAAGATACTGTCCATCTTCAAGCAAAACCCGATGGGCTTCCTTGCAGTCATGGTAACGCATTGTTTTCGATTATATTTTAATAAGACAAATAGTTATAATAATACTAGTATTACTAAACATATTAATTTTATCAATGATACGAAAATAAAATAATAATACAAGCTAAGCCACACTGATGCTGTCCGCGAGGAATGCTGAAGATCTCATCGTCGATATTTGGATTTGTTGCAGCGGTCGACCTGAAGACATATATGCTTGATAAAATTTCTTATAGAAATGTATAATTGTCACATATTTATGTATGTTAAGAATATTAACGTTCTTGCAACCTCCAGGTCCAGACAATGTCAGAGCAGTGGTCAGCTGCACGAGACCTTAGACAATATACGCGCGTGCGGTGATGTTATCATGCGGTCTTACAGGAACTGAGGCCTTTACTCCATCTCGACGAGCTTGAGGATGCTCGGGTGCGTCACAGAGGCTGACCTACGAGCACAGCTGCATGAATGGGGCAGCAGGGGTATCTTATTCTAAACTAAATACTAGACAGGTGTCTGGAAAAGATGCCAGTGGTGGATGCCTGCAATCCTCGGCCGCCGCATTATGTTGGGAGAAACATTTAGTTATGGTTTGTGTACAAGAATTAAGACCCCCACTCCATGTTGAGAAGTCGCCGCGTTTGCATACACTCATCTTCCGGTTTCCTGGCAGATACGCCAACATGACATGGCGTTAAAGTCTAAGCGCACATTTGAAAAGAAAAATGTCACTGCAAACTCTCGTCTAGGGTGCAGCTCGTCGTTGACCTCAGGACCAGCGTCCAAACGGATCTTCTTCAACACCACGTTCGTCCTGCTTGTCATGCACGGATAAGTATATATGACGAGAAATCAAAACTCAACACAACTTTTTCAACCAGCACTCTCCTTG